ACATCCAAAACAGCCCAAACCTGTTCCACAGGTGAGGTACGTGATGATCTGATAAGAGTAAAAAAAATCCTGCCAATCTTGCTGCTTGCTGAGTTCATTATTTCCTTGTCACTCTGTTTTTCTCTTTCTCATCTCCTGTTTCCTCATGTTTTTAGTTCTCGTCATATCTTATTTATACGGTTCATACCTCTCTCATACTATAACATGTTTTGACCAATATAACGTGGTGCGAATAAATCAGGCCAGTCTGCTTTGTGGACTATAGCGACAGGCAAAAATATAAGGACAATAATATCTCCAAACATCAAAGAGAGAGGCAAAATTTAATCCAAACTCACATCCACATATGCCAAGCATTCCTCACAGGTTGTACCATTCTTGCTCTCGCAACCTAGGAAAGTGTGAGAGGACACATTAGTTGTAGAAATGAACTGTGGTTAGAGACTCGTTAATGAATCTAATTCTGTGTTAAACGCTACAACAAGCTAGAGCCTGACTCAATACATTAGACAACAATTACACCCTATGAGACAGTGGTTGCCTTGGCCATCCTTAGTTATGAAACCAGACAAAAGCAGCATGGGAAATCAGATAGAGGCAGTTATTTACTAGTACACCATATTGGTCTTTCAAGAGAATTAAATGGTTTAACATTAAACAGCAGGTCTTATGTTTGGGCTCTACAAACAGTGTATTTGTAATCGTTTATTGCCCATTTAGTTTAAGTAGTAAAACAGCTATAAAAATAAGTCTAGTTATTCTAATCACAGTAAATTCATGTCAAAGGACAAAGACCAAGTTTTAAAGGTGTTTGTATGTAAATTCAACACCTATGAAACTAGAGGTTCTGAAACAGTAACAAAACATTGAACCTTTTTACTCTAGTATGTATTCCGCCAAAAGTATCTATTTGCCTTACTTGGACGTGGCGTTGTAGTCGGTGCTTTACTTGTAGTCTGTGTTGTCGAAATTGTCGAAGATTGTGTAGTCTGTGTTGTCGTAGTTGTAGAAGATTGTGTAGTCTGTGTTGTAGTACTTGGAGATATTGTATTCTGTGCTAGCGTTGAGCTCAAACCAAAGAGAAGCAGGACGAGAGGAATACAATTCATGTTCTCTTCTTTAAACGAACGAACACCTAAATAAAACGGACTCCTCTGTTAGTTTGTAATAAATTTTGTCAGCAGATATCTTCCTTTGAAACCTCAGCGCACTTCACTTCATTCGACCAGAAACTGGGAACAGGTTTTGTAGTTTTGTTTCTTTCATGGCGCAGAACATCCTTTAGGAGCTTAAATTACAATACCTGCTTTGGCGAAGGCGTGGTTTATTATTATTAAGTACGTAATACAACAGCTGCATTGTAATCTTTCAATGGTGATGGTTTAAGACATAATCACAGTAGTTAATGACGTCGCGCTGTAATCTTCCAATGGCGAAATTCTGGCTCATGATTATTAAGCAAGATATGTGTATGTATACTATAATGTAATTATTCTGTACTTGTATTCTATATGTATGAAATAATATGTATGTAATACGTATGAGATAAATTGTCCTAATGGAATTATCAATATGAAATAACGTTAACAAATAAACCAGATAAATTTTAAAGTAAAATACAAGTTAATCATTTGAATTATTTGTACACAAAATAATTAACTGTTATGGGTTAAATGCAGAGGACAAATTCCGAGTATGGGACACCATACTTGGCCAAGCAGTTCCTGAACAAACAATATCCATTTAGGATATTCAATATACAAACAAAACCACTACTTTGAGATAAATTACAATAATTTATTAAAGCATTTTGTAAAGCCAGTTACAAAAGAAATTGTTTTTTTCTCCCTCTCAATATTTTAATAAGCACTATTATTCTCTCTCTCTCTCTCTCTCTCTCTCGCTCTCTCTCTCTCTCT